ATAAGGAAGAATTGTGAGATGTTATTCTACATTCACTGAAAATAAGTAAAGAATTAATGTTTCAAAATTTTTGCTTTTAAATATATAGCCACAGGCAGTGCTAGTATGTACAATACAATATTAACTGAAAATAAGAAAGTTAAGAGATTTTACCCTGAATAAACTGGCCCAACTTTCCTTGTAACATCCAATATCCAAATTATTGATATTCCTAATTTTAGGACCTACAATGTATAATTTAGCCAAGAATTAGGAAGTCGTGTTAATTTTCTCCCAAAAATTATTTGACAGATGACACAAAGAGCTAGTTAAGTTGCCTTCAGTGACTTTAGCCCATATTCTCATGATTCCATAAAATTAAAGAAGATTTTTTTATTATAGTCAGCTGAAAACTTAAAAGCAAAATTAGTCTCACTCTGAAAAATTGCAAATGAGTTAGATTTGAATTCCATAAATTCTGTCTCAATTAAGAAAACTTTTCACATTATAAAAATAAACTCTGAAAATGTTGAATTGTTATTACCATTATTACTTAATTTTTCCATTATCTTCATTTTTCTATTATTCAAAATTCATTATTTAAAAACATCCCAATAAACGTGTTACCAACAGAGTAAAAGTTCTTATTGAAATGCTATGTTCAGACAGGCATTTATTTTGGTCTATGCATAGTTTGATTACTGATTAGAGTTAAGCCTGCCTAGGTTTTTTTTTTTTTCTTTTTCTTTTTTACTTAGTCACCTTTTATCATATAGACAAATTGCAAAGGTATAATAATGAAAATTATGAAAATATCTACACTCTTACCCAGTTTCTGTAACATGTAGGTAAACTGAAAATTTGCTCATTTTCTCAAAGTAACAAAAGGTGCATAAATGAGGTAGTATTACTTGTGCACTGATTTTCCTTGGAAATCCTAAACTGTAGTAAGATAGCATTTCTTTCTTCTTATTTCAAACTCATTCTTTAAAAAAATTTTGAGATTTCCTCAATGCTTCCAAAGGATTCCCAGTAGAATGACATCAAAGTTGTTCTACTGGGCATTGTAAGCTAATCATCAAATTACCCAGACACAACTGAGTTGTAACAATTAAAACGACACACCTTATGTCCTTAGGGTTCACTGTAGGGGCATGTTTATAAAACACCACTTAACACGGTTTAGAATAAATTTGTTTTTCTTCCTCTTATCTTTCTTAATGGTATCACTACCCAACTACCTATGTGACTTGTCCATTTGGAAATTCCAAAGGTATTTTATAATTAACATATCCAAATTTGAAGTCAAGATTTTCCCCTATCCCACCCTGAAACCTGGTTTTCTTACAGTGTTCCTGGTCTCAGAGAATGGGGTCAGCAAGCAAGCTGTTATGCAAGCCATAAACCAGGAAGACATCCTTGATACTAACCTCTCCCTCAGTCCCATTGTTTCAACCATTGCCAAATTCTCTAGATTTCATCTGATAAACATGTCTTAAATGCAACTATTCTCTATGCAACTATTTCTCACTATCTCCACCTTAACCCCCAAATCCAAGATACATTCATCTTTTGCCTACACTAGTTAACCTCCTAACTGCATTATCTGCATCTTCTAATATACTCATCTAATCCATTTTTCACACTGACGCCAGACTGATAGTTATAAAATGTTTACCATTTCACCATCATCCCATATACACATACTCATCTCCAATTGAATTTATAAAATACTTCTCATTGCATATAGGATAACAACTAAAATTCTTAATCCTAAATATCCATGCCATGACCTCATACTGAAAAACAAACTCAGAATACAACTGTAGACAGTTGGGCATTTCTTTTGCATTGTTTACTACTTACAATAATATTTGCTGTTATTCTTAGGTGCCATTGAGTTGATTTCAACTCATAGTGACCCCATGTGATACAGTAGAACTGATCATAGGGTCTTCATGGCTGTAATCTTTATGGGAGCAGATCACCAGGTCTTTCTCCCACAAAGTTGCTGGGTGGATTCAAACCACCAACCTTTCAACTGGCAGCTGAACACTTAACTGGTTATGCCACTAGGGTTCCTACAATAACATTAGCTGCATTAATAGATATTCCTCAATATCTCAGTGGCTTAACACAATAGAAATTTAATCCTCCTTCATATAAAGTATAAAGCATATGTCCCTAATTGAAAGCAGTTCTAGTTCAGTTGGTGATTCAGAGTCCCAGACTCTTTTCATCTTGTCACTCAACCATTTTCTACATATGATTTTCTTCAATGTTTGCTGTTCTCATGTGGATCAAGCTGGGATGGGAAAGTTCACCAAGGATCCTGAGTGTCAAGTGCTTAT